GGTGCCATTATTATTTTATTCATCGTGGGCCCTCCCCTCATGTGTGTGGAGTGTAAACGGGGGTGTAAACCCCCGTGTACGAATAGTTTTACCCTTTTTTTAACACATGGTGTGGCCCAACCATATGAGTATTCTGGTGAGCCCATGTGAAAATATCCCTTTACGTGGGGATTGATTCCAATATATTAGCTTAAAGACAACAAAAATAAGTGCAAGTACCTTAAAACACTAAAGTTCAACTTACAATTTCTCAAAAGATCAAACTCATCAATGATTGACTCTATATCAATACCAATAACTAAAATATACAAATTCTACTAAGAATCTTAAATCTTCAATTCACAAATTGAGTCCATTATTTAACAATTTTTTTTTGGTATTAAAATATTTGCCACATAGATGGTCGTGAGTTCTTCAAAATAATACCGAGAACCCACCTTGATATTGAGAAAAATAGTTTGAAAATGAGGCAAGAAAGGCGACAACTTTGATTTATTTAACTCATTTTGTACGGTCATTTTAACCTAGTTATTGCGACCTCAACGCTCAACGGTTTTGCAAATTGAAAGATGCATTATAAAGTACACCTATCGACAACATTTCCTAATGTTCAAGATTTTTAATCCGAAATCGATCCACAAAATGGCTCGGTGAAATGGAAATCAAAACATAAATTTTCTTTCTCACACATGCGCAAACTCCAACATCCACCATTTGCGTGTGAGCACAAACCCCAACCTCCGATAACTACCGTTCTCGCGCACGCCAACACAACTACCCAATGTTCAAATCTAAAACCCTCTTTCACGTGTAATCCGTATCTAAATTCCCCTAATTTTTCAACATAATCCATCTCTAATGTTTCAATTATACAGAAAAACTCGTCATTCCCCTAATTTTGGTAATTAAATGATGGTTTTGCCTTCTCTTTACATTTAAAAAACAAAACAGTAAAACGATAAAAAATATATATAAAAAATTGTAAACGATATCTCATAACTTTTAAATGTACTAATAAATTAAATACATATTAACACAAAAAAAAAAAAATTATATTCCTCTACCAAACTCACCCACCCACCTACCCCAGCCATCCTAGTTCACGCCCACCCTACGGCCAAACACCACCTCCATAAATACAATCAAATCAAGGAATCCTTTCAAATTATTTTCTTCGGATTAGGAATGAGAATTATGGTCATCATCTCAATAATTATTTATATAACTAAAATTTTAAGTAATATATTAAAAATAATTAAATGAGGAAAGAGGGATGGAGATCCTTGCCCTCTCCGCCCCTACACCCTTGTAAGAAGGAATTCGAGAGGGAATATGGCATTAAAATTCATGGCAGGGTGAGCGACGAGGAGGGCTCCTTTTACCATTCCTAATAATAATTGTGTGTCTCGACTTTAGATTCGTGTCGTTGTATGTTAGATATTGAAGAATAATAGATAAATGTATCTTTTCTCCAATAGTTTCAAAGTAAAACTTAAACAGTGATTTAACATGATATCAAAGTAAATAAAAGTTTTAAATTCAAGTCTTGCTTATTTCAAATTGATAAAAATTATGCACGTGTCAAATATTAATAAAAACAATTCCATCTACACATGAAGGAACGTATTGAAGAAAATAGTTAAAAATTTAGAGGAAGTCTAAAGTTGTGCCTTTTTCTTTTTCTCCTTCGGTAAAGGAGTAAAGTAATTTGTGAAAACATAAATGCGTTTATGTAAGTGGCAAAATTTCAAGGGAGCTGATTGTAATTACATTTGCACTTGTCACCAAAATAAGATGCTAAAATTGCCACTCAATAAAATTAATTAATAAATAAAGTAATGGGGATAAATAATTGACAGTTATCACCAAAATAATAATAATAAAGCAACTCTTTACTGGCACTATTGTATTAGCCCATGATTGATACCAATTAAAATTCAAATACTAGTTTTAATCAAAGTCAACAATTAACACTAATTACATATTTCATGGGTCCCGTAATTTTTGAACCACACATTTTATCAATTTTTATCAAAATATAATAAAAATCTGATTT